GACATTTCACAATATTAGTTCATTTTAAAAATGAGAGCCTCTGGCTACATTCTCTTCAAATGCAATTGCAGTCTGTTTAAAGTGAAAGATAAGACAAAATATAGGTTAAGGACAACTTCTAGCAAGGAGAGTAGAAGGGATATTATGCCTGCTCCTTCTCTAAAACTGTCTAAAATTGTTCTCCCTTAATGACCTAGACCTACAAACTACCAACAGTTGACAATGAAGGCTTAAAGCTCATAACAATATTCTTGTTGGCTGACAAGTTGAGGTGACTGTGACTTAGTTGGGAAGAGAGGTTGTCTTGCAATCTAAAAGTTGTAGGTTCAATTCCAGCTTCCTCAAGCCACATGTTGATGTGCCCCTGAGTAAGGCATTTAGCATCAAGTTGCCTACTTATCTGCTTATTGGTGTGTGAATGTGCGTGTTTTGGATGAATGTGGGTATATAGGTTAATGACGCTGCAATATGAGGTTCAATATTACAATAAAAAATGGAGCGCAATTAAATTACTTTATTTCTTTTCCATTATCAGAACATTGCTATCTCTCTCACTAAGCTCTCTAATGCTGGGTACTAAGATCTTCAGTGGTGTGAAACAATATTTTTCCTCTTACAGAGTTACTTTGTTTTGGCTTTTTTGTTATGCATAAAATGCTTCAGATCATTAAACAATTTATAAATACAAAATATGGTTATCATATGATGATTTCAGAATCAGCTTTATTGCCAAGATTGTGCAGACAAACAAGGAATTTGACTTCGGTACGCTTTGTTCTCAGTGAAGACTTTTTTAATATATATATGTAATAATGGAAATAGAAAATATATATATTTTTAATGTACATATATACACCATTGACTTTAAAATAGAACATAATGTGAGACCAGTCCAAGTATGCATGGTGTTGTTCTGGAACTCTGACTGTCAAGTGTTCATCAGAGAAACATCCTGGGGGAAGAAACTGTTTCTGTGGCAGCTGGTTTTATCAGACAGCGCTCTGTAGCGCTGACCTGAAGATAAAAGACCAACCACAATGAGATGGACGAAGACAGAACAGACTGAATTATGGCAGTGTAGAAGATGACCATCAGCCCCGGTGAAAGGTTGTACTTCTTGAGTTGCCTTGGGAAGTACAGTCTCTGCTGGGCCTTTTTCCGAACATTGTCTATGTGTGAGGACCATCTCATGTTTCAGAAAATGGTGGAACCGGAAGTAGTCCAGAGACAGTGTTGTTGAGGATGTTGATTGAGGTATGTGGGGGTGGTGTTCTTCGAAAGTCCACCATCATCTCCACAGTCTTAAGTGGTTCCAGGAGGTTCTGACCACACCAGTGTACCAGCCAATCCACCTCCTGTCTGTATGCAGACTCATCACTGTTCTGGATCAGACCAATGACAGTGGTGTCATCTGCAAACTTAAGGAGTTTCACGGAGGAGTCTGCTGAGGTGCAGTCATTTGTGTAGAGGGAGGAGTTGGGTGAGAACACACCCCTGGGGGCTGCTGGTGCTGATGGTTCTTGTCCGGTAGAAGATGCTCCCCAGCCTCACCTGCTGCTGCCAGTCCTTCAGAAAGCTGGTGATCCACTGACAGGTGGTGGGCAGGACTTTGAGCTGGGTGAGCTTCTGGTGCAGGATGTCTGGGTTGATGGTGTTGAAGGCTGAGCTGAAGTACACAAACAGGATCCAAGCGTGCATCCCTGGGTGGTAGAGTGTTGCAGGATGAAGTCTAGTCCCAAGTTGACTGCATCATCTGCCGACTTGTTTGCTCAGTAGGCAAACTGGAGGGGGTCTGGCAGGGAGCCTGTGATGTCCTTCAGGTGCTTCAACACCAGTCAATCAAAGGATTTTATGACCACAGACATCAGGGTGACAGGCTTGTAGTCATTTAATACTGTGATGGTGGGTTTCTTGGTGAAGTGTGTGAAGTAGGAGGGAACCTCACACAGCTCCAGAGACTTGTTGAAGATCTCAGTTAAGATGGGGAGACATTATCAGGTCCCAAGGCATTATTTGTTTTCAGGCGCTGAAAGAGCCTATTTACATCTTCCTCTGAGATCCTTAGTGCAGGCAGGGGGTCTGAAGGTAGGGGGGTGGTTGGTGTATGGCAAGAGTTTGTGTCTGAATGGGAGGTGGAGGAGTTGGGTTGAGGTGGGAACTGCTGCTTTTCATATGTGCAGTATAAGCCTTTCAACTGCTTTGCTAGGCACTGGTGTTTATGAAGAGAAAAAAGCTGGCCTCCCAAAATTACTCCAAGAGCAGATCGACGATTGATCAGGAGATCACAAAAGAACATAGAACATCTAAATCACTGCAGGGCTCATTTGCCTCAGTAAGGCTCAGAATTCATGATTAAACTATAAGAAGGAAACTGAGCAAACAAAATCATCTTGGAAATGTTTCAAGGCAAAAAAAACAAAAACAAATTAACAAACAAACAAAACATGTTGACCAAAATAAAACACAAAGCTCTCATATCTGCCAAAAAACATATTAATAGATTAACTAGACAGAAGTAAAATCTTTTGAAAAGTGTGCCTCCCATTACATCTGGTCTAAAACTCATAAAAAGAACATCATACTGATGGTCAGGCAAGGTTGTAGTGGTGTGACCGTTTGGAGCTGCTTTCTTTAGTGAGGACATGGAAGACTTGCTGTGACTGAGCAGCTGTCTAGCATGAAAACCCTGAATGAGAATATTTGGCCAAATAGTTAATGTCTTTAAGAATGAGAGCAGAATCTAACATTAACAATTGTTTGATAATCTGGAACATTTAGGTGTGACAAAAAACGAAATAAATCTCTAAGGGGAAATACTTTTATTAAAATATGATATTGGTAGTTCAGGTTCTATCAAATCAACATAAAAAAGGATTAAACATTTAAGAGAAAAGTTACTGCATGACAACCAGTTTTTATTGCTTTTCCGGCTTACAATAAGTCTTTATTCTCTTGATATTGGATATCAAACATATAGCTACCAGAGGTGGAGAAATAAATGTTTACTACTAGGCTGGGAACAAGAAACTCCTTTCCCAGCAGAGAATCAAGGGTGTGTTGCATTGATTTGAACAACTTTCATGTACTTACAGTGTGTAGGCTGCAGAGGTGCCCTGGAGGTAACGCAAGTATCAGACTCACACTTCGTATCGACAGATAGTCAATCTTAAGAGACTCAAATTTGTAACAGGGACAGAAGCCATCTTGACAGGACATGATCAATTTCAACTGTATTCAAATTTTTTTAATTAGGACTGCTTTGTTTAAGGTAGTCCAATCATGGATCGCCTAGATTAGTTGTAAAAGGCTGTTTTGTTTTGTATCCATGGCCAGAGACTGGGTGTGTTGACCTTGGGTGCAATGTGCAATCCATAAAGGATTGCTAAGCAGCCTATTACAATTTTCATTCTTTGAGTTAATGGTTTAAGTCATTTGTTCTAGGTTGACATATATTTTTTCATCAATTGACCTCTACTTAGAAAGCTCTGCTGTGATGTATTTAATTGAACATCACATTACTGTCTCATAGACTTGAAAGAAAAGGCAGTAGCTGTGCATTTTCACAGGAAAACTGTTTTTTGTTTTTTTTTACATAACATTGTTGCTAAAACATATTAGCAGTTTGATTTCAATGAATATTTAATGTCCTTGATCAGCTACAAAAAGCATTTGTAAAGAGCCAGTTTTCACATAGTTTGTAGCGTGAATTATATCTTCAGTTGTTTGAGGATTGGTTTGAGAAGGAGAAGATGCTAGCTACTTTGAAAGGGAAGTTTTAACATTAATGAAAGTGTGAACTTCTCTTAGCCACATTTGCTTTGTTTACTAATGCTCCCACTCTGTTTCCTCCCATCTTCGGATCTGTATGCATGGAAGGCTTGCTGGCCACAAGGGATGCGGGAGGCGCATTGCTATGTGTGGAACAGCAGCTCTCACAATTACGATGACAGCTTTTTGGGTCTCATGAGAAGCCTGAACAAGTTAATTTCTTTACCTTAATGTCAATTTGGCAGACTGTTAAGATATTGGATGGGTAGAGAAAGAAACAACAGTACTCTGAGAGCATTGGATGCCTTCATTGGAGAGAGATACAAACAACACATTGTGTTGTTCTCGTCTGGTGTCAAGTGTTTGTGCAAGTGTGAAAACACTGATGGGCATGTATTTGCGAGCTGCAGTCTGTATTCTGGTGACCAGACTCCTTTCACTTACTATTTACTTAACATAAAAAGGCATTTCTTTATCAAGACAAAGCACCACACAAAAAATAAACAAAAAAGAAGACAAATTGCCATCTGAACAGAATGGCTTTTGAAACAGTTTATTGATCACTTGTCTGGATCCACCTTAAAATTTTCAGCACAACAGACACGGTCTTCAGGGTGCTAAAACACATATTCTGCACTTTGAATATGGGCACTTGAATATGGGCTTTTTACTTTTGACGTTTCAAGGTTTAAGCACAATGTCTCCGTTTCACAAAGAAAAAAGTTCTCAGCTAACATCCAAGAATCCCTGAAATGTCAGAGCTTGTTGAATAACCAGCGCAACCCATTTATTACAATGTTGTTCAGTTTATTTTAAAATTTTTTATTGTGTAATTATTATGATGTTTTGTGCAGGGAAAATGGTCAAAGATAAGACTTAATTACAATGATCTGGTTGGGATGCGGCCCAAGTCCTGACTATGCTCACATCTTAATGGTTTTTAAATTAAACCCCTCCCTGACCTCAGCAAAATCCTGATAAGTGGTCTTAATTAGAGTCAACGGGTAGAAGGAGTAAGTGGGCAGAGGTTCCTCTTTACAGACCTCCCCTCTGTCATGGAAAATAAGATCTGATGATGTTAACACCAAGGTTATTGCTTAAGCTGACATATTGCCTGCTAAAGAAAGCCTTCAGCCCCTAAAATGAGCTGAACAAGATAAAGAGGTCATGAAAATGGATGTATATTGTTTTAGGAGTGAGCTTTTTTGTACAGTTATATTCTGGTGTGTGGCTACATGGTGGTGCAGTTGTTAGCACTATTGCCTTGCAGCGAGAAGGTCCCGGGTTAGAATCCTGGCCAAGGAAGTTTGCATGCCATGGAGTTTGCATGTTTTCACCATGCATGCGTGGGTTCTCTTCGGGTACTCCAGCTTCCTCCCACAATCTAAAAACATGTTAGGTTAATTGTTCTCTCACAAGCCCCCCATAATCCTGCAAGGATTAGCAGGTGTAGGCGATGGATGGATGAATATTCTGGTGCTGTGGGTGGCCTACCTCACAAGGTAACACATGAACCAATTACCAGTGTCAAGGTTAACCAAGGTTTCAAGTGTTGTCATACCATTGCTATGGTTTAATGAAATGCAAAGGATCGTTTTCCCATTCTGTATGGAGCCTAGAGTTAAGCACTGTTCCACCCCCACCCCCCACATGTTGCTGTCCACTGCCAGCCAGCTAGCTAGAAGAAGGCTACAACTACTTACTCCCCACTTAAAACTGAAACAAATTCAGCTTGTTAAAATATTTGCAGTTCCAAATAAATGCATGCAACCACGTGGTGGATACTGGAGGAGCTAAAAGTGGACACTGGACTGTGTGGGGCAACTAGTGGGAGTTATTTCATAGATACTGGGAATGTGGAAAGCTTCTTTCCTTAATAAAATGGGTTTCATAAATATAAGAAAGGTATCATTATGTTTGCTATACCTTTTAATTATGATTAATTGTATACAGGGAATATCTCTTTAAAAATAGGGTAACTGTGACAAGAAACTGGGACTTATGTGTTTGTTAATGAGTACAAAGAAAAAGATAGATAAAGTGGTCTAAAACCTCCACTTACAATGGAATTTAACAATAAAATGATTGTTATGGAAAAACTACATTTTTGAACTTACAGGGGTTGGACAATGAAACTGAAACATCTGGTTTTAGACCACAATAATTTATCAGTATTGTGTAGGGCATCCTTTTGCGGTCAATACAGCGTCATTTCGTCTTGGGAATGACATATACAAGTCCTGCACAGTGGTCAGAGGGATTTTAAGCCATTCTTCTTGCAGGATAGTGGCCAGGTCACTACGTGATACTGGTGGAGGAAAACGT